TCTTTCTTAGTTTGTGGCTCAAGTATACTTTCATATGTGGTTTAGAATCAAGGTAAAGCACTCTATTGTCGATGGACCCCATCATCTAATCAAACTTCTTTATCTATTAAGAAGTCAAGCTGTCGAAGTTATAAATGCCGTTAGTAAGTCTGTTAAATATGGGGCATTTCATGCTCATTCTGAGTCTCTTCTTATTTCTTTTCTTGCAAGCTCATCAATTGAAAATAGAGCTTTTGCATTCAAGATGATTATGAAAGTTAGGGAAGATTTAGAGCAAGGTAATGTAAGTGTAAAAAAACCGAAAAAAATTTACACTTAACTTTGATGCTATGACTCTCCTTGAACTCATTGACTGGAATAATGAACTAATCTTGGAGCTAAATTTTACATGTAATAGGACAAAAAAAAAATTTACAAAAAGTAATAGATTCTCCTATGGAAGTACCTTACTATTCTCTCCACACACAGTCTTGTGAAAGAGTTGTTAAACAAATAACTGAAGCAGCAGCTGCTGTTTGTGGTTTTCAGAGACATGATGGTTTTATTAGAGCGAGAATAGAGCACAGAGATGTTGTTCCAAATCTCAAATCCAAAAAAGATTTAATAAAATTGTTTAGTTTTGATTGAGTGATTTTAAAGAAAATTTTATTTCCCATAAAAACATGTTGTTTTATTTAATATTTTGTGAAATTATAATATATTTGGACAAACCTGTGTGCACCCACAGAACATTTTGATGTTTTACATATAACAGTTTCAGGAAATTTATCTGCACATTTTAAACTTCAAGTAATACTTTTTTAGAGTTTAACACCCTCACTTATGAGACCAAATGAACTCAAAAGCATGAGAAAATTATTTTGGTGTTTTTATTTTCAGAGTTCTTGGTGCCATTTTTTGCAAAACATTCTCATTTGAAGCATAAAGATAAACTTAAGTTTAGAATTGAAAATGGCTGAAGATGTCATGTAAAACATAAAAAAACTTTTGTGGGTGGAGTAAAATCTAATTCAAAACTCTAATTTTTACCTAATTTGCTTGGTTTTATAGTACTGTAAAAAGTACTTTTTCAAATCAATAATGCATATATATATATATATATATATATATATATATATATATATATATATATATATATATATATATATATATATATATATATATATATATATATATATATATATATATATAAATTAGTAGAAAATCTATTTAACACTGTGTTTCATCAATAAAGACTCATCAGAAATGAATGATCAAATTAATAAAACTTCAATTTATACCAAAAATTAAATTACAGGAGTCACATGTCTTAACTACTGCAATTTTTCACACATTTGTGTAATTTGCTGACACTATTGTAAAAAGAATTCTTTAGAAATGATTACTTAAGCTTTTTTAAAAAGATAATATATTTTTTTCAAAGGGGAGTTAATGTAACTATTATTTGAGCTCACTTATTTTTATAGTTTTTAGGGAGAAACTTATTTTCGTGCCTGCAATTAGAAATCAATTCCGATTTTTTGTTTAATAAACATTCTTGGTTTGTATGTGTAATTATTTCAAATTTTTCTTGTAGACGTAGTATGCATTTTTTGGAAATATTGTAATATGCAGGCACTGTTTTGAGGATGGACCAATTTAGTGTAAAATCATCAATATTTTTATCTTTTAATTCCCATATATATTTTGACAGCATGGTGTCTTTTGAATACTTTTTATTTTTAAAAGATTGCTTATGATTGGCAAAACGTTTTTTCAATTCACCTTCTGTTATGCCAATATATTGTTTATCAGGTACATTCTTAGAGGAGACAACACATTTATATACCACATTTTTTGATAAGCAACTTCCACTCATTGGACAATTGTTTTTTTGTTTACAATTACAATTTTCTGTAGTTTTTTCATTTTGGATTTCTTTTTTGTTTAACAAAGCATTGTTGTGACCTTTTATAATTCTTTCCATATATTTTGTGCAACTGTAGCTAACTTTAATAGTATTTCGATTAAAAATTTTATGTAATTTATTAGAGGGCAGGAAATGCTTATCGATCAATTTTAAAAACACTTTTCCTATGTTTGTGGAAACATTTTTGCTATATGGGGGGGTTGAACCAAATTACATTTCTAGTTCTATTTCGCTTTTTTGTATTCTTTTTTTCAGGGTCAAATTTTAATTCAAAGTTTTCAAAACCACTTTTTTTAAGGGCATCTTCAAATATCTGTTTGGAGGAATTGAATACATTTTATTAGAGGAGTTTTGCTTAAGCCTGTTATTAATTGAAATCAGGATTTGTTTTAGAATTTGGGGTGGATGATTTGAGTTAATATTAATATACAATAATTCATCGTTTGGTTTTTTGAAAGGCTTATATGTATTTTTCGAGAGGTTAAATGTGACATCAAGAAAGTTCACAATTTTTAAATTTATGTTTATTTCAATTTGAAAGCCAATATTTTTAAAAATTTTTATAATATCTTTTCTAATTTTATCAAGCTGTGGACCAGATTTTTTATGCATTTCTATAAAACCATCGTCGCGATAAAGGTCTAAATCATTTATATTGATTATCTTACTTAATAAATCTAAAATATATAATCCAACAAATTCACAAATTTTTGCTCCATCATAACTGCCCATTGTTACATCAAAGCAGTTATGTATGTTTTTCTTTTTCCAAGTTTCCTTATTAAAATAAAGTAAGGTTTTTCTAAAATGTTTTATTATGAGAACCAATTTATAACATCAGTGGTATTTTTCCACTGTTGCAAATTTAATTTATTTCTAAGAATATTATTAATTTTGTCCAATTTAATTTTGCTTACATGTCCAATCTCACTTTTTGAGGGAACCAATAACCTAAATTTTCATAATTTTTAGGGGCTTTCTTATAAGAACTAGTAATATTGTTGCGTAAAATTTTTTCATAGTTTTCTGTTGTAAGTTGGTAAATGTTATTTGTTTTATCAGCAAAAACCAAAATATTAGGGTTTGATTTAATTTTTTTAACATCTAACTTTAATTCTGTTTGAAATTTGTTTTTTATAGCGCGAAACTTTATTGTTTTAATTAAATGCAATAGTTCATTTTCAAAATTTTCCAAATCAGGTATGAAAGGTGGGGTATTTTTTGTTTTAAATCCATAATTATCATTATCTTGGTTATTATTAAATACATCATCTGTGTTTGTATTTGGTTTTAAGAAAAAATGCGCTTTCCAACGAATTCTTTTTTATAAAATGCTCAACTTTTTCAATCAAAGAAATATAACTTAGTATAACTTTTTTCATCTAGTATAGGTATACTTTTCAAGGAGTAAGTGAAATTATTAGTTTCCATATTTACACGGAAATTTGCATTCTGAAAATCAACACCCAAATATAGTCGACACTGTCGAAAACGGTCTAGAATAGCCCCTGATATATATATAGTAGCATCCAAAATTTGCGGACAGGCATAAAATAGATTTTACTAATATTTCAGGTTTCCAGGTTAATAATTATGTTTTGAGCAAATAATGATTATTTAATTAAATATTAAAATTGGTTTACAAAATAAAGATTTTTGATAAGTTCAAAAGTTTGCAAACAAACTAAAGCTTTTAACATTTTCCCCAGAAAATTGCTACTTTGTTGATTTTGTAAACAAATACTTTGTGGAAATAATTTAAAAACTTTATTTATAAATGATTGAGATTGTGGAATCTAAGAAATGTATCTCATCTCCAGTGAAAAAACTGATGCTGAGATCAGTTCAAAAAGGAAATTTGGGACTCGATATATATATGTGTATATATATATATATATATATATATATATATATATATATATATATATATATATATATATATATATATATATATACATATATGTATATATGTATATATCTTATACTGCTGAGTTAGGTGAGCATGATGATGTCATACTTACCTAATGTCAAATAGCCTGCTGCCGGGGGCTTCAGTACATACATCGACTGACAAATAGCCTGACTCGCTGTGGAGTGCTGCTACATCGACTGAGGGTTTGGTATGGGTCAGCAACATTTTCATTCATTATTCTTCGTTTTCCCTCATCGTTTTCTAAAAATGCTCACTTAATTTAGGCTAGCAAAAAAAGTGAGCAATTGCGCATATAAATATACTATAGTAGATATATGTATATATATATATATATATATATATATATATATATATATATATATATATATATATATATAACACACACATATATAGATATACTGTGGCGTCCAAAGGTAATTGGACAAACAGCTTTTTTGTAATATTTTCTCATAAAGTTAACTTTTTTAAATGAAATTTCTTTTAATATGACAAATTATACAACAACTATGAAAAACAAAAATTTGGGAGTGATTAATCAAAATTTTAATAAAAGAATGGAAATAACTGGCTCAAAAGTAATTGAAATAACTAAATTTTGATTACTTCAAACTACTTTTTCAGGATGCAAATTTTTGTAAAAACATTCCATAATGAATACATAATGGTACATGATAGCTATTTAATGGTGAATAAATTAATTATCTAGTAATAGTAAGACTGTGTGACAAATTAAAATAAAAAAAAATATTTTATGATCAACAGTTGGCTATATATTAAAAGGAATCATTTCCAACCATTGTCGAAGTTGGCAAGGTCAAAATCAATAACTTTTTACCAAGAATATGTTATAGTGAGATCATCAAAGGCAGATTCGAACAAGAGTGCTGAAGAAATCTATAGTGAGTTTACACAGTTACATCAAATTTCTTGTCCTTATGCAACAATAAAGCATTGCTAAAGACAAAACAAACTTTTTGGTTGTTGTCTTGTTAAAAAACCTTTTGTTTCTGCAAAAAATTGTAGGGCACAATTGAAATTTCCTCCAACTCACAACAATATTTACTTTATCCTCACAACAATCTTTATTTCAACCTCACAACAATGCTTATCTCAACCTCGCAACAATGTTTGTATGAGCGAAAAAAAAACTCTGCCTACCAGAAAAGTGTAATCCAAAGCAGTATGATTAAAACATGATTGAGTTGCAATCAGAATATTTATTGCCTAAATGAAAAAAAAACTGATTTAATTACAAATATATTAGTTATATTTAAGCTAATATATGCAAAAAATTTTAAATTTATGATATTTATTCAGCTGAAAATTTACCTCCTCGCCATCAGATGGTTTGCATGTTTTTAAAAGTTGACTATTTCGTATTCTCGCACTGTAAATTAAATAAAAAAATTAAAATGCATTTACTAGCTCATAAAAATACATAACAAACAATAAAAATATATAACAAACGTTAATGTAAAGTAAAAATAAAGCCTAATAAAAAATTAAAATAGTAAAACACAAATAAATATAAGCTTACATTTGGGGCATTTAGTTAATTTTTGTTTAATACTTTATTGTGTGTCAAAAAAGTAACTTATCATTTTGTTAAATCAAAGAATTAATGATGATTAAATCAAGTTCTGTATATTTTTGTTATCTTCTCAAATAACCCACATTTTGCAAGTTTGTGCAATATTAATAATGTAAGTTTGTGCTTTTTGGACTTGTCAATCAACCATGGAAAAAAGAATTTCAGATAGGGAACGAATTAACAATCTATTTATAGATATTTATTGACATAACTATCTAACAATCCTAAATTGCTTTAAGTCATCAAGGACATTATTTTTACAGACGAAATCGTCAAAAACAGTTTTCAAGTATTTCCTCTTTATGTCAATAATATTCATATAGATTTAACTCTGCAAGCAAATATTTAACCAAAAGCCAAAATTTTACCTGCTAAACATCCAAGAAGCTCAAAAAGGTAATAAAATTGATTAAATTTATTATGAAAAAACTAATTTTTTTTCATAATAAATGGTCTTTTCCTTATATCTCATACAAAAATAAAAAGCAAAAGCATTACCTTCAAAATTCATTAAATACCTTTTTAAACAAAATAAAATAACATAAAATATTTAATGACTTTAAGCTTATTTTTATTTGTTGCCTTTGTGATTAACTATATCTTATCGACATCTTAGCTTTATTTTATTTAACTAGAAAATATTGAGAAATAAATATTAACAAATGTTTTCAGATGAAATATATATAAGTAACTTTGCATGAATTATACTATACATTTTTAATAAAATTAAATTGTAAATACTTAAAAAGAAAAATATGTAAAAAGTGCACTTGATAGTGAGTTGTGGAAAAGTGGAATAACGTTACAGATTTATATATGTTATAGATTATTCCATATGTTATAGATTTTTTTTACTTTTAATGTTACAGATCATTATTTAACATTTGAGTATTTTTTTTTTTTGTGTGTGGATATTTTAGCTATGACAAATAAATAAAACTTATAAAAACATTTTAAACACAAATTACTAAACATTCAAAAGTTTAGCAGTCATATAGAGTTTTTTTTTATAATTATTTTATGTAACATCTAAAGAAAACTATATTTGAGCTGTTTATAATGAAAGTGGCATAAGTTACTTTTTCAAAAAAATTAAGTAATTGATAACAATGATTACAATGTAATGGTAGCTCTTCATTTGTGAAATAATTTAAACCAATTGTATTGAAAATAATATTTGAAATTATTGACCTATACTTGTGAAATTTTCACAAATTAAGAGATACCATCACATTCTCATAATTGTTGTAATTAAATTGATTTTTTTGAAAAGCAACATATGCCAATTTCAAAATAAACATCTCATTTTTTGACAAAAATTTTACAAATTATTTTAATTCATGTTAATTTTTTCCTGATAATTTCTTACCTGTCTACTTCATAGCTTACTTTGTCAAAAACTTTCTTTGTTTCTTTTACTTTCTTAATGTCTCTAAAAAAAAACCATTTAACAAAAATTTTCAATACATATATATATATATATATATATATATATATATATATATATATATATATATATATATATATATATAAATATATATATATATATATATATATATATATATATATATATATATATATATATATATATATATATATATTTATATATATATATATAGTTATATATATATATAGTTATATATATTTATAGTTATATATATATATAGTTATATATATATATAGTTATATATATATATAGTTATATATATATATATATAGTTATATATATATATATAGTTATATATAGTTAGATATATATATAGTTATATATATATATATATATATATATATATATATATATATATATATATATATATATATATATATATATATAGTTATATATATATATAGTTATATATATAGTTATGTATATATATATAGTTAGTGTTGTTACGACTTTGAAATAACTTGACTGTCGACTAAATCGATTAAGGTGTTTTTCAAAGTTGACAAAAATAATTTGTTGACAAAATCAAATATTTTGTGGAAATCAACCAAGTCGCATAAAGTTGATTTAGTCGAAATACTTGAATTTTTTTAATTTATAATATTTAAATGTTGGATGGCAATTTATTTCTTAGATGAAATAAATAGAACTTTAAGAGACTAAACAAAAAATTAGGTGGTATTATTCTATTAGATTAATTTAAATTGAGAATAAACAAACAAAACAGAAATTACAATATAAAAAAATAAGATGACAATTTTATATGTCTTGGTTTAACAAGACACATTGTTCAGCCAAATCTGGTTTAAGTCTATTTCGCTGTTCTGTAATGATTTCGGCAGCACTTGAAAAGAACTCTTCAGAAGGCATTGATGAAGCAGTTATACAAAAGAGCATCTTCGCTATCTTTGACAAAATGGGAAATTGGCATAAATTGATGACACTGTTTCATCGCATAACAATATTTTCCTTTTTTTTGATGGACTTCTCTGACGACTCTTGGCTAGACAACTGAAGGCTTGTTTGTGTTAACTGCAACTCATGGCTCAATTGAACAACTAAAGAATGAGCTTTTTTAATAAAAGAAATTTTTGCTGTTTTGTTCGATATAAATTTAAAATTGCAAAATCGCGGATCTAAATATGTAGCTGGGCACAACTTTTCAATTTTAAAAAAATCCTCACATCTTCGATTAAAATTTTTTTTAAATTTGATGATAAGATTCATAATTGTACAATTATTTGATTCACTTTTGAAGTTAGCAAAGTAATAAGTTAATTTATAAATGGCTGGTAATATAATTGGACAAGAGGTATATTTTGATCCGCTCAAAATTTTAGTAAAATCATGTATTGGCTCTAATAAATCAATTAGCTCGCCAATGATTTCCAGTTCCCAGCTTTTTAATAACAAATCCTTATTTTCTTTGTTCTCTGGCTTGATAATAACGTCTTTGATCGATTCGCTAAGTTTAAAAACTGACTGCAAAATTAAAAAGATTGAATACCACCATAGCAACGTCTTGTTTTAATTTGTTAATTGAACATTTATCTTCTTGATTGTCAATTTTCATATTATTTAACTCAACACAATTAACAAGCTGAGCAGAAAGCTTATTACAATGTTTGAATAAATCAATGAGTTTCCAACATTTCTTTAAAATTATGAAAACGCAATGATTTTCATCAGTTGATAGCTCATTCTCTTTTACAAGAACATCTTTAACAATTAAATTTAATATATGACAAAAACAAGGTATGTACAATTAATTAATTAGATCTTCTAGACAATGTTTGATATTCGCAGCAGTGTCAAAATTCGTTGAAAGTGTTTTATCACTTATTTTCCATTCATTAAGAATTAACTCAATTTTTTCCTTTAAATATAGGCTAGTATGGGCTTTTGGGCTATGTTTTAATGCAATCTGAATTGATTTCAAACAAAAATTTTGATCAACAAAATGTACTGTGGCGCCGATGTATGAATGTGAGGCTTGTGATGTCCATCCATCTGTGCTTAGATGGCAAAATTCAGGTTGGTTTAAAAGATGCATTACTTGTACTTTAAATAATTCAAATTTAAGCGGCACTATTTCATACTAAAACTTTTGTCTCGTCAACAATTTGTATTTGTTATCAAACAAAGCTAGCATTTTAATAAAATACTTATTATCAACAATCCACAGTGGTTGACCTGTTTGAAGAACAATGTTACACATAGATTCCTCTAAATCTCTATATTTCTACGAACTTGAACAATATAAGTGAGAGTTAGCAAATGCAGCTTTGACAGCATGAACAGTTGTTGTACTTGGAAGATTAGACTCTTTAATATTAATCCGATGGTTACTATACAAATGATTTGCCATTGAGCTTGTATTTTTATTGTATTTTAGCTCTTTGTTGCAAATTTCGTTTGTTAAAGTATCTTTATACTTAGACGTTGTTATTGTCATTGTTTTTCACAAAATAATTCCAGACTTTACTTTTATGAATGTTTTGATTCAACATTTTATTTCTACCATAAAAACAGAATAAAAATAAAATACCCATTACAATTAAGTCAAAGAACAGCTTTTAAGTGTGTTCAGATAAGAATTCCTTCGTGCAGAAATAGTGTCCTAAAGAATTTGCATCAGTACCTATCATTATTACTATTAGAATTATTCTAATCGTTATTAATTTCTAAAGGGAGTTAAACCAATCGTTTAAAATGTCCATTGGGAATTAGTATTATATGTATCAATCCATAAAAAGAATTTGATTGAACTTATTGACTTGTAAGGCAAAATTTTTGTGGCATATCAAGGTGGATGTTGGTAGGGCCAAACTTTTTTTGTGGATTTCAGATTTATAAAACTTTGTATCTTTTTGGAATCATTAACTGATGACATATTAAATATTTTTTTAAAGAATTAACTTTTTATAACGAGTCACTAAAACAAGAAAAAATAAACATTAATGTACTGGCACAGCATACAGTAAGCTTAGAGCTGAGTTTATGTGAAACAGCAAATTAGGTTCAATATTCAGATATTTAGGTTGAATTAAAAACCCAGCTATGAATAATAATTTTGCGCATGGCTCAATTTTTACAAATATTTTATCTTTATAAAATCTA